TGAGATATCGCCACCTAAATCATGTGATTTCTTAGAAGCGTGGGTCTGGGATTTTGTCATACACACACATAACCAGCATCTTGTTTCAACTGTAGACTTGGAAAGTCCAGAGTTACAGCTGCACCTCTCAGAGGCCTCCGGGCCACACTCTTCAACAGCGGATGATGGGTATGAAAGCGTTATATCGCTTGGTGAAGGCTGAAAAGGGTCACTTGCCAGTCAGGAGAGCTGAGACAATTGTATTTGCATGCATAACAATGAAACTATGAGTGGAAGACTGAATAAAACTGTCAGCTTTAAAAAAAATCACTGTTAGCATCAGGCTGAAGTGCTGGTTAGGAGTCCTCCAGCAGGCGCGGTGGCACTGGCGTGGGGAGAACCCCGTGCCCCTGCCGTGACAGCTGGCTCCAGAAATCAAAGTAATGACATAGGAAAGCCGAACTTTTCCAGTATCTGGGAAGTCAAACCAGAACAGGGATCCACCATCATTCAAACAAATGATGCTTGCCAAAACCCACCTTTTAACAGTAGCTGGGCAGCATATTTGGAGTCAGACTGTAATTTCTGCATTATATTATAACTTTAAACAGGATGACAGCTGAATTCTGGAGAAGGAATTCTGCTCTCCTTTGGGGACAAACAGCACCTAGTGCTACAGTCTTTAGATGTTAGGCAATCAAAATCCACAGATGGTAAATACAATAAATAATTTAAAACATGATTGAGTAGCTCAGAACATACAGAAAATAACATGTGGGGGAAGGAGAGAGGGCATTTCAGGTGAGACTTAACATACCATTTTTATGGAGCTCTATTCTGTTGTTGCATAACATGAAACAAAAAGCCTCTTGCACTGCTCCTGACTCCACTCCTCCCCCTCCTTTTTTCTTCTTTTTTAAAATCACTTGCTAATAAAAAGAGGGAAATCCAATAAATAAAATTACTTTTCCTCTCATGTTCTAATACACGTCAGTTTAATACAGAAAATACTATCATCAGTGACCAATTTCATTCCCATATAGAGAAAATAATACCAGTCAATAACAGCCTACATCTATAGCATTCACTGTTACAATCTCTGCATTAAAGAGAGAGGAGTATGGCAGGAAAAGTGAGCTTCCCCCAACAACCACTAGGCAGCTTTGTCAGATGTACTGGTATTTATATGTTTCTCATTCAACATGGTTCCTCAATCTTTTTTCTTTAAGAGAAAAACATACTGGCTTTTTAAAGAGACATTAAATGCTTGGTATCGTAGCTGATACAAAGCTCTACCCTATAAAGACAATTTTTTTCTTTAGTTAGTGTTGGTTTTGCCACTCCATGTCAACCGAGATTTCTCACACTGTACAGATGTCTTCCTCTTTTGATGACATCTAAATTTAGAGGGTGTGGATAACTATTGTTAGCAGTAATAAGTAGTGACGACAAGGGGCAAGAAGCACACCTTTATGCTTCAACAGGAACATATAAACTATGGATGCTGATACTGTAAATTAAATTGATGACCCCACTTTATCTCTGAATGAACCTCCACAACAGGAGGTGCTAGACAGATCATAGTCCAATTTCAAATAATTATTTCGTTAATGATCCCAGGTGAAAAACACTTTTTTTTTTGCTGATAAATTGCACATTAGCATAGGGAAGACTCAAAGCTTCCTTGGAAGCATACTATTTCTGGATTTCTGAAACCAGTACTTTTAATTTTTAACTAAGTGTTGCAAATATTACAAAAATAATTGCCAAGTGAGCCTGGAACACCTGGACCAGATATCCTGCTTTGCTGTAATACAGTCTATTTAAGGCTGCCTGCAGAACTACTGCAGTATGTCACCACCTTATAAATGGGAGAGAATGATATCAGCAAATAAAACTCGTGTCTTGTCATGGCCTGGCACTGGTTTTGTACTCCCAGGTGCAAGGTGTGATGTTTAAATTTAAAGGATCTGAGTGACCAAACCTAGCTATGAACTCATAAGTAAAAGACAAACTGATAGAAACATCAAGCCCCAGACCTTTAAGAAAACACACAATTGCACTGAATTTCACAGGGTTGATGCATTTCAGAGCTGAATAGTAGTAACTCTGGAACTGCTAAATGCAAATAGATAATCACTTCAGCTACCATGAATTGCATGACATTAAAACATCTTTCAAAATTTCTGTTTTACAGAAGGTCAAAATGAATGAATCCTGTCAAGATTCTTTAAACTAAAATCTTCAGACACTTTCAAGGTATGTCATTGCATATTTCACAATTCATAAGTCAAAACTTGGAAATGAAAATAGTGTGCCTTTATTGATAGTCTGCCACAAATTATTGTATAAACTTAGTTAGCCAAAAATGTATCTACTGCGTGGGAAGATCCTGAACATTGCAAGTGTATCCACAAAAAGTGGATGTTTTCTTATAGCAAATAACAGATGCTCTGTTACCAGCTCTCGCTATAGTGCCATATGCAATTAAAGTAGTGTTTTACACAAACTGTATGAGGCTCAGTCACTGTCTCTTCATTACTGCAAACACACAAACGTTCACTGACTTCAGTGGGACTCCTCTGTCTCTTAGGTGAGCTTGTACACCATGTTTGCAGGACTGGAGTTTATGACTACAAAAGCAGTGACAAGGGAGATAAGAACAGACATACTACAGTAAGAATTCCAACAATTCAATGCATCCATCTTACTGAAGGAAATCAGTATCTTTACATACTATTGAATGTTAAAAACAAACAAAGATGTTTAAGCACAACGTATATATTTATACCAAATAAAACAACTGAAAAAGTATTACATAAAGAAAAATAATGTAACAGAATGTACTTAAGTACCTAACTTACAGTCATGCTCATATCTAAAAGTAACATTGGTAACTAATATATATAATTTTGACAAGGGTGCATTTAAGAGTTCTCTAACATACAACATTCTAAATGTGGAGAGTATTTTTTCCAAGATACAGAAAACAAATTATTTTACACAGGCACACCTGTTAATTTGTATAAAAAACATGCTTGTAAGTGAAAAGGTCACTTTAGTACTAATTTACCAGATGTGTGAAAGCTATGTAGTGTTAATCATGTTGAAATTGTCTCTTCTCCTTTTGCATTGGTGAGTGCCAACACTGAATGGTACAATATTTGATCCATATGGTTTACTGACACTGCAACCTGTTTCCAAGCAGTAGCCCTGCCCAGGTGTTGAACAGCACAGTATTGTACAGCCCCATCTGTCTGCATGTAGTGTATTTATAACTAAAAGCTATTACAATTATTACAATGATTTCTGTTTCAATATATACATCAGTATAAAATACTACCCAAAACACTTTCGCATTTCAAACAATTTTAACCACTTCATCAAAAAATGCATTTGCAGAAAAAAAAAAATCCAAATTAATGTTGATTGCCAACAGTACAGCATCTCTATGGTATGTTTCCTAATAAATGAGAGAACGGAAATGTATTAAAATCAATTAAAATAAGTATCACAAAACATAATTAATGTTAGAGCAGTTCAAGGATTCCCAGTTTGTCAGTATCTACCCTAAGCAGTGCTACCCAAGTACAGTATAAGCCATTTAGTGTTTCTACAATGAGAAGAAAACATTCAAATATTAAAGCTGTGACAAACACACAAAAGCAAGGAAAGAGAATCTGATCTGTACTCATCCCTGTTGTTGCAAGGTACACCATGTCAGGAGTTTGCACTCAGTGCATCGTATGTGCTATTATACCTGGATACAGCTGTGGAAGACAACTGAAATGGAATCAACTACAAATTTCCTTGCTGTTGTGGTTTTATGTCAGACCATTCAAGTTATAACAACTTAGTGTCTTTATTTTCCTGAAGGGAAGAAGAGTAAAGAATTCATAATGAAATTGTAAAAATGCTACTAAAATCCCTATCTTGGACACAATATACTGCTTTAGGAGCTACTGTGTCATTGCACAATATAAGTGGCTTATTAATCACTGAATTATTGGTGTAGCAGAATATATTTGTCATTGTGGATATCTTTTGAAAATTAGTATTTTAAAACCTGCCTGTATCCCGTAACAAGCCACAAACAATTTCATGTATTTCAAACACTAACATCCTTATGTAAAGTAGCAAATGTCCATTCATAGTGGCAAATTTCAAATCTTTGCCTCCGCTGCTTCACTTTTTTAAAATGAGACTTGGTTCAGAGTTTTCATTCTTTACATTATTCTAAACCAGAACTATTTCTGAAGCATAAAGAAATCCAAATGATAATAATAATGTTATTTTTTTTTTTTGCTGATTCATTCCTAACTTGAAAAATAATCAGTGTCTTTAAAAAAAACACAAAACAAAAAAGCCCAAAAAATCTCTCCACAGGAGAAGTCCCTGCTAGCTGAGATTTTTTTTCAAAACCAAGTTTCACACTTACAATATCTTTATAGTTATGTTATACACCCTTGAAAATAAAGGCTCATGCTAAGAATGGTGACAGGCCCTTAATTATAGAGGTGTTAACTGGTGACATTATTTTTCATCAGAAAAAAACCAAAAGCTCCACAAAACTTCATAGCTTATACTGAAAGTTTGATTCATGCTCATTTTGTTCATTTAAAAATACTCTTTGGAAACTGTGTCAACTCCTGCAGACAACTTAGTGATACAACTTTTCCTGTTAAAATAAAGATAATTCATATTCACCTCTACCCCATGCTAAGCTCTACTACTAATATACACTTCATTACCTGCTCATGTCACCATCTAACACATATCTTTACATTCTTCTACATATAGTGTCCAGGGCTTATTTTTCACCAAACAAATTTGATAACTATTACACTTAGGAGTTTTTCTTGAGGATTTTTTTTTTGGTGTTCTAGCCTTTTCATTGCAACTTAGAGTGATACTAATAGTTCAGACTTTTTCCATGCTAGCTTAAGAGAAACTTTTAATAAAAGTTTTTTTCCCATTAAGGATTTTAAAATCTAAACTCACTTAGATATCAAAACTGAAAACAAGAAGAATGATTAGATGCTTCTGTAATTTTAAAATGGTTTCTGCTACTTTAAAATGCATTTAAAAATTGTACATACAACACTTAGGATTCTAACTTTTATGTTGCTGCAATCAGATTCTAATTCAAAATCTTGCAAATAAACATGAAAAATAAGCCACTGGTCATGATTTCTAATGATTACATTCAAAGCTAGCCTTTAAAAAAAATAAAAAAAAAAGTTACAAGCACAACATACTGGTTTATGTACTCACTAGCTTATCAGGCTACAATAGGCATGTTTTAAGTATAAAAAAGCAGACAATTCATATTTAAATAAGACTATGTGAAATCAGAAAAAACCCTTAGATTTCACTATTTAAAAAAAAAAAGAACACCTATAATTACTTCCCATCCTACAGCTACAGTTAAACCAACTAACAAAAATAATCAAACTATTTTTGACAAACAAAAGTTAGGCTAGAATATGTGGCAACAATCAAAGTTCATATATGTTTCTATGTAAAATGACTCATGATTTACTATAACATAAAATATGAACAAGAGCACTTTGTGACTAATGAAAGAGCTACTAGTAGAAACATTTAATGCCAGTCTTCAGCCCTCCTTTAAGTCATATCTCCAAATCAGTATTGACTTCTTTTGACCAGATACATCATTTTTGGCTTGTCACTCCAGTATGTCATGTTTTACCACTTGCCACAGGCAGCAGGAGACAACTAGCTGAGCAAACTACAAGCAGTGACATGCAGAAATTAACTCTCAAATCTGAGTACTTAGATAAAATGATATGCAAGCGCACATTAGGACAAAAGGAATGGCATTCGTCATCCAAATAGGCTCATCATCCCTCCCCACCCCCCCTTGAACAGTAGTTGCAACAGCAATAGAAAAAGATCAAGAAGATGTCTGTTCTTCAGAGTCAACTGTGGAAAAAAGTCAGCAATATATAACAGCAGCGATGGACAAGGAAGAGCAAAACGAAAGAATCTTGTTGATTATTTGTTCATTTACTTTTTCTGAACACAAGCCAAAGTGTGCCACACTGGCTTGTTCTGCGCTTCAGATACAGATGTCCTATTCTCCTTAGATCCTTCACAGATTTAGAATTCAGTCTCCCTGAGGCCCCTATAACCAAGTAAGAAAACTCTCTTTATCTAGCTTGGTGGCTGCCAAGACAGATTCCATGTCATTAAGGATGTCAGAACTCAAAGCCTCTTGCAGACTTGGCATCAGTTCTTCTCCTTCTATATTCATCCCATCTCCTTCCAGTGTCCCAAGGTCCACATTTGTCCCTGGAATGGCTTCAAGGTAGTCTGGGAAACGGTTCTGATGGGACGGTATGTTACTTTGGCTGATACTGTCACCTAGTTATATCACAAAGCAAGATGGATATTAAATATACTGAAAGTACCAAACCCACAATTTATCAGGACAACTGGTTGAATGTTAATCCTGTATTTCTTGCTTCACAGAAGCAATATGATTCATAGAAATCCATCCCAAAAAACAAAGATGACTTGACTGCATGTAGATGTACAAAGGACATGCCTTTGTTTCAGCATTTTAAGCTACTGACCCAAATGTCTACAGATCTCTGATGTCATTTACCATATTTTAATTTTTATGCTTAAAGGAAAAGGAAAAATACTGTTTTGGAGCATTATTAGTAACACTGGATGAGGTTCTATTCTTAGTTCTGAACAAACAATATTACTTTAAAAGACAAATGGACACACCAATTCCATATAACAACAGGAGTGATGCTAGTTAGCAATCCCCCATCCTTCCAATATAGAGTTGATTACAAGCATGTTTTTCAAAAATCTAACTATAATTTTTCTATTACAGCAATAGAAGGTGGTAGAAAAACAATGCTAAAAGTATCGCAGCTTCTCAGTGGTTCGTTTTCATTGCAAATGGACACAAGTATATTTGGGAAACATGCATTAAGGATGCACACAAAAACAGACCTGTATCCATCTCATCAACACTGTTCAGGAAGTCATCGGGGGTTCTGGGTACACTGTAACTGCTCATGCTAAGTCCACTATCTGTGCTTTCATCTCTGGAGTGATATGTTCCACTGTAACAGAAGAAAGGGAGCAAAAAATGAGGGTAGAGTACTGAAGAAATTAAAATAAATGCTTGTTTTTGACATTCAAGGGCTTTGAAAACATTGCTGTCATGAGAAATACTCTCTTCTAATCAAAAACCGAAGCCCTTTTCTGTGTTGAGACACCTGGGTTTTGTTTTATGCAGACCTTTTTCAATTAAAACCTTATTATTTAGATTCAATTTAACTTGATGAGAGGACACTTAAGCAGCTTTAAAAAACCTGCCTACCTGTGTTCTGCATACTTTTAAACTTTTCACACCCACCCACAGCTAAAAACCATTGGAAGCATATTACAGATAGTCCCTAATAATTATAAAAATAATAATAATGGTGTACCCTTTCACACTTCTATAAGGATAAAAAAAGTATTTCTAGCTACTAGTGTCCCCGTGTTTAATCAACCAGTGAGGTGTATTTCTAGGTCACTGCTGCTATAAATAGGAATTATAGCTGGAACTCCTTTACCAATTCTTCAATTGCTTCCCACTGTGGCATTACTACTAGTTCAGTCATACATGTCATGGCAAGTGAGCGCCCTAATATAAATCAAATACTGGTACAGAAGCCATCCTATAAACAATCCATGTTCAGAATGATCTTGTTGACAGAACAGTTAACAGAACAGTAATGGCATGGGGCCTTACATGCATTCCCTTTCTTAATTCCATCTTACTGCCAATGAAGTGAGCAAGACCAAGAAAGCTGCAGCGGGAAATTTGGGATGGAGTGGGGGGAGAAGCAGGCCAGCACACTGAGTCTGCATAGCAAGGTTTTCATAGCAGGGGGGCTGCAGGGATGACCTGTGTGAGAAGACACCAGGAGCTGACCCCATGTCAGACACAGCTGGTTCCAGCTGGCTCCAAAATGGTCCTGCTGCTGCCCAGAACTGAACCCATCAGTGACAGTTGTGGTACCTTTGTCGTAATGTATTTAAGAAAGGGTAAAAAACCACCGTACAGCTGCTGGGAGAGAGGAATGAGAACATGTGAGAGTAACAGCCCTGTGAACGCCACAGCCAGTGAAGGAGGAGGGGGAGGAGGTGCTCGAGGCACCAGGACAGAAATTCCCCTGCAGCCCATGGAGATGATCATGGTGACACAGGTTGTCTCTCTGCAGCCCAAGGAGGTCCATGATGGAGCAGATATCCATCTGCAGCCTATGGAAGACCCCACACCGGAGCAGGTGGAGATGCCTGAAGGAGGCTGTGACACCCTGGAGAGCCCACGCTGGAGCAGGCTCCTGGCAGGACCTGTGACCCATGGAGAGGTGCCCACACAGGAGCAGGTTTTCCGGCAGGAACTGTGGCCTGCATAAACAGCTGTAGAAATACACCATTACCTCCCTCCCCCTTCATCTACTATCCAAGCTTCGCAAAATATTTTAAAAATCTGTATTTCTTCAGGTTGTGGTAGCATCCACTGAAAATCTTTACTAATTTTCCAGCTTGAATCCTAAATGAAGATCAGCTTGACTTACTATTCAGATTAGCATTTGAAGACATACTGATTCTTCTCATAATGTGCTCATGAAATATATAGCATATGACATTTTGTCAGGTATGAAGAATGAAACAGATGATGGTTGAACAGCTATTCAACATCAGTTGCAAGCAGAATGCCATCAGCCATAGATTAGATTTCACAAAGACATCTTTGTCATACAAGAAAGAAACTTAACATTTCTTTATAGTTAAATAATATTTTGTTGATTGATTTAAAAATAGTATCACCACACATTTGATAACAGCCTTAATTAAGCTATTTAAAACTTCTGTGAAAAAAATGCTAGTTTACTTTGTGGGAAAAAATACTAAAAACATAACTGAGACTAAATCACTGTAGTTAAGAAGACTTTTTGGCTTCTGCTCTTATGCTTGGAATGTCCAGTCCTTCTCTTCAAATCACTCCTTAATACACATTTCCTCTTTCTTCAATAAGGATTTCCTCATTTAGCAGTCACACCACCCAAAACTACCACATGCAACTAAACTGCATTACCCAAAACAGAATGGATACTTCTTCAACTAATACTTGTATTAAAATATATGTATGCAAAAGAAGAAATCTCAATTTAGGAGTTAAACAGAGAATTACCATCACTATCAATATACATCTAATAGACAAATATATATAAACACAGTGGCAAACCAGAAGGTGAAATAGTCTAATAAAAGTCTGCATTGCTGGATGTCCCATTCAAAAAATAAAACATACCACAATGACAGTAAGTACTGAAGAAAGCAGGCAGAAGATTGACTATGTAAATGAAAACACTACTGCACATTTTGTCAAATTGCTCCAATGTAGCAATTATCTTCTGAGACTTTTTGGATGTTCTGGTTATGTAGGCAGTGGAAAATATTCAACTACCTAAACTCTGGATATCCAACTTTGGCACCTAAAGCTAGGAGGACTGTTTTACCAGGAACTTTATATATAGCCTATACTCTAAGTCTGATCTTTTAACATAAGAGACATCAAGAACATCTTTAGGGCAAAACTACTGGATTGCTGTATCTAATTCAGAGATAGCAACGCATATCCATTAATGTCCTTTTTAAAAATTTCTTTCCCTTACCCATATGCCAGAATTACATGTGGTGATGTACATAAAATTACCTAGAAGGGGACAATGCTCAGACCAAAATGCAAACTAAGATATTATGAACTCAGGTCAAGTACAGATTTTCAGTATTTTGTGTGGGGCAAGGGCTACAAAAAAAAAAGCCCAGTTAAACGTATTTGCAACTAGGCAAGTAGTATCTTTTTGCACTTTACAGTAAATAGACCTTGCTAATTATCAACCTGCCAAAAATTTACAAACATGAATTTGCCCTTTCTAACTTTTTTCGTGTTTCTAATTAAAGGTAAAGATCCATCATTTTATATTTCATGTGTATAGACTCATAACAGATAAACAGCACTAGTCTACTGCCATGGCCTTTTGAAACCTGAAGATGCGCGTTTCAGGTCAGAAAACAGATTGTGGAGATATGAGGATTCTACATAATTTAAGAACAAATTTCAAAATATACCTGAGCTCAATGTATGATGGCAACAGCCTTCCAGAAATTTAAGCTAGTACGTTACTACAACACATCAAGGCCATCATCTATCTACAGAGGTTTCTCATAGGACAGCAGGTCAGTTTTAAGATTTCTTGTCCTTTTTATTCTTTAGGACAGAGCCAACACAGTTAAGGCTCACACCAGATCCCTGGATGAATTCCATGGAGAGCAATCCCTCCCTCTAACAAAATATGAAGTTTTCTAATCAGATTTGTCTGTGTAGGAAATAAGTCTTCCTGAAGGGCTTACCCAAAACTTGAAAATACCACTTACTTCTTTAGGGAGTTTAATAACAAAACACCACTTCTTTCAACACCACTACTTTCTTCTCCATGTGCAAGGCATTTTTTTTTTTTTTTTGAAACTTGGTTTTCTCCAACATATACAAAGCACTACGTACCTTGAAAGAAACTTTTCTCCTGCTCTCACAGTAGCACACACAACACTAGCACAGACAATACCTCAAGGCAGTAGGAGAAAAAGCTTAAGAGCAACAGATGTTATTTATATAACCTAAACTATATGAATGACAACAGATTCTACTGGCAAGATGGAGGCTACGTTCTTGCACCGTCTCCACTGAACTTTACTAATTTTGAGAATTGGAGTGAGGACAGTGTGTATGAAATGATGGAGAAGTTTCCTGGAAGAGGCAGAAAATGAAACAAACTTAAGCTGAGCTGATGGAATATCAGTAGCTGGAAAAGTTACATATAATGACAGTACATCTTTAGGGATGAAGAACCTAAGTGTGAAAGATCAGCAACATTAAGTTATTTCAAAGCACACAGGAAGGGATTTATACTTGCAGCAACGTTTACAAAGATTTTAACAGTTTTCAGTATCTAAAATTATGGCAGGCATTTAAGCTTGCCCTACTACAAACTCATGCCAGTTCTAACATTATGTGGACTTCTTACCTTGCAAGCAGGTTTGAAACTGTATTGGTGGCAAAAAACAGGAAGTTAAGACTTACACTGAAAGAATCAAGATTAATTTTATGGGGTTTTCCTTGACTGTAATAATGTACCATTAAAGAGGAAGAGGAGCATATTGCTATACTTCCTAAGCACTTAAGTAAGCATCCTAAAGTTAGGTTAACATTTCGAGGTAATGCAGAAATGGAGTGATGAACTCTGACAGAATACATCATTTTTCTCTTTTATGATAGGGGGTACTGAGTTGGTATCAGTTTAGAATGCTGACAAAATATAGTCCAGTGAAAAAAATACAAAACTAACTGTGCCAACTTAAGATCAACTACTTGATATGTTGAAATGTTAGCAGATTTCTACTCCATTAATTAAAAGTTCACGTGGCTTGGACATTCGACTGTTTTGCCATTTTCATATTTCTTTCCAGCATGCTAAGCAAAAAATACAGATATGACTTATCTCAAGCTGCAGCAGTTTCTCCAAAGTTGTAATGGCTAGTATGAAGCATGTAAGCTAATATGTAATTAGAACAGTACTTCCAATAAAACAAACATTCCAACTCAGAGGGATTAAGGAAAAAATTATATGAAAAAGACTAGTCTATACTGTAAAGATCTAAATCTTGAATTCAAAGACCCACTTCAAAATAATACAGCATTTAGAATGCAACATGCCACTATTTGTAGACCTAACATTAACAGAGTAAAAATATTGCTAAATTAAATACCTGAAGTGAATGGGAGGGCTGAATGGAGAAACCTTAAAATGAACCTCAAGGTGTAGTCCTAAATGTGCCTCACAGTTCATTTGATCTCACAGCAAGTTATTCACAAATTCTTCTTAGTCAGTAATTTGAAATGACTGTTAGTCAACAGATTATGCAGAGGCAAACATGTTATGACTTTGAATAAAAAACCTTCCTACAAGTCTGAACAGACTACTTCCTCCCACAGGAGACAGCTTTTAATCCCCAACTTTTACTAGACTTGCCATTTAAGGAAAGATTCATTTACAGCTGTGGCTTTTGGCACAGACAGATGTTCAAAATAAACTATTACATGTACCAAACAGAATTTTAAATCATTTTTTTCCCCTCTAGTAGCTACTCCTACAAACCTGTTAAGAAACGGATCAGAACTATTTGTAGTCATTGTTCGCAGTTCCTGAGACATTCCAGGAGACGACACAGGGTTTTGAGATCCACCGTCTTGTTCCATTGTTGGAAGCTGGCTACGGAGAGCCAATTCCTAGAACAAGGGGAGGGGGAGAAAGAAAGATAGATCATGTTAGGCATTCAAATGCACTTTTCAGATACATAAACACATGACATTACAGGTACTTGATGCTTTTACGGTTTCCAGTTACAAGATTTAAATCAAATTGAGTTTCAGAAGACAAAGCAAGAATTTTTACTGGCTTCAACGATAATAAAAGTTCTACCAGTCAAGACCAGTATTAGAGACTTCACTGTAATTGTATTTATGGATATCAATATCTGTGTATTTCCATAAATATTTTCTACTACACTTCAATATCCTTTTGCTACCTCTATTCTTAAGATCAAAGAAAGAATTGTTAACACTGTCTGACCCCTAAGATATGTCTGTCTAACTCTGCTGACTAGCACTTTTTCTCTTTTTCTTTCAAGTTCTGATTTAGACCCTGGTTTCCTATTTACCTTGCTTGTTGCATTCAGCAAAGTTTAAAGTCTGTCCCTACACGTTCCCATTCACTCCTCCTGTTGGAGGCATGCATTCTGAAGTTTCTGAATGACAAAATCACTGATTTGTCCCGTATATAAATCTTAAAGCTCTTTAAATCCCTAGAAATTTCTTAGTAAAACTAAGACACTGCTTTTCTGAAGTTAGGAACCTAGAGTACACGTATATTTTTATGCATCTGACTGTGCACCAACTTGAATCAATCCATCCATAAAGCTTGTCATTACTATTTAATGGAAAATAAGTTTTAATATAAAATATACAAAATTAAAGGTTGGTGGAGATTAGCAGCATTTTATGTAATTTCCAGTGCCCGCTCTCTCCCTTTTTAAACAGGTAATCCATGAGTTACATGTGTGATAAATACAATAATTTTCTTCACGGAACTCTCCTAAAACATCATCAGTGGTTCACCAAGTTTGTGCTTTGTTAATGTAGAGACTGGTAAAGATACCTATTGACTATCTTGTTATAATTATTAGTAGCATGTGATTTCCAGGCTGTGCCTGGGAAGCTAATCTCAGGCAAATCAAGTATTGTCAGTCTTGATAATACTCGATATTTCTCACTTGTACAATGGAAGGTCTTCATCCATTCTCAGTTATGAGCCTAAGGACTACTGTAGACTTTTAACATAAAAAAAAATAATCTTTCTCCAATTCTTCTTCAAAGTGGTTTCTTTTAAAAAAAGTCCAAGATTAATTTCATTTTCCAGCAGATTGTGCCAAACACTGAATGCTTTCCTACCACCTGTTTTTTTTTTCCTTTTCTAATTTGCATATGCTTTACTCCCATTCCTGTGGATTACTGTTCTACATATTTCTTTAATACCAATTTTGATGTCTTGTTCTAGGTTTTTTCACACCAGTTAATTAGACCATTGCAGAAAAGTATACAGACCACTGGTTTTTGTGTTCGTCACATCTAATTGCCTATTCCAAGTAAATCCAGTCCTCTGCTCACCACCACTTACTTGGCCACTGTTCTAATAAATAGTAATAATATTCCTTCTCCTCATTTTCAGATCACAGGATGGTAGGCACCTTTTAATAATTTCTATAGGCTTATCCATATGATTTTCATTTGCTTATGTAATAAAACCAAGTGCAAAGACTATATAATGAGATCTTACTTCATAGCTAAGTTTATAAACTTTTATCAGTCACATCAGCCTGGATACACAGATAGACTCAATCAATTTAAGAAGAAAACAACAAAAAAAAAACAAAACCAAACCAAACCAAAACAAAACAAAAAAAAAAAAAAAAACAAACAAAAAAAAAAAACACAAAAGAAAAAGGGTTTTCTTTCCTGGAATGCTTCCCAAATGGTGATCTGAAGAATGTAGAAGGTCTTAAAGCAGGCATCCCAGAGATGGCTGAAGAACTCCTCACTCACATCATGATCTTTATGTCCTTCATCTGGAGACAAATTGTTCCAAATACCACCTCAGCCTTCCCCTTCCGAGAAAACTGCCTTCATCTGATATAGCTACTTTCAACTAACTCTAACTTGTTATTTGTCCAATGAAAAAGGCAGAAGAGAAAATAATAATAAAAAAAAAAATCACTTGATTTTGCACCATTATAGAATCTTTTCAGCCTTGGGTTCATACCTGGAATACAGCACACTTTTCTTCTCCACTCTGATAGCAGAGCTGTGAATCAGCAAGTGCTCTGCTCTTATGTGGCTACAACCTGGCTGTGGCAAGAATGCTGTCCTTTTCCCCTTCCCTCGTTCTTTGATCTGTGTGTTGCATTTTTATTTCCATGGGGTGCAGTCCCTGACTAGGATGAAGAGGAGGGGACAAAAGTGCCAGTAGCTTGTGGAAGAAGCTTGATCACACAACAGTGCCCCAGGGAGTGATGACAAAGCAAAACCAACACAGAGTCATTTCTGTATATAAAGCCCTAAAGTGACGTAATATCTCATTGTGTGGTAGGCCTGGTGTTTCCATTCAGTAGTGCCTCCTGATGCAATAGTTTTAAAAAAAAAGAAAGGTAAAATAGAAGAGAGACTGAGAGAGAAAGAGAAAAGAAATCTATACAGGTCCCCTTTTCAAGAGCTACTGACACCGGTAAAGAAAAAACCCATAAATTCATCTTTGTACCTTAAGAAACACAGTCAGTACAAATGAATAAGCAATTTGAAAAAATGGGAAAGTTACCCATGTATTTTCTAAATCCTTAGAGGGTAGAAGAGATTCAAGTTTCATCAATGTATGAACTTAAGTAGTATGGTAAAAACAAATGTAGCTCAGATGCTAGCCAGCTAAAAGAGAAAAATCCCATTTCACTGAAGGGCCACTAAAAAGAGATGCATTAAACCAGGAGATAGAACTGTATTTTTCCCATTCTTTGGCATGTAAAACGTAGTGAAATAAGTCTTTTTAATATTAGTACTACTTTTATCCCTGTTTCAACAACAACATTGCTAAAAGTACAAAACTACAACTATTTTTAACTATTTATAAGTAGCATTACTGCTGCTTATTCAGGAGGCAGAACTACAGCACTTTCCCCTAGAAAGAATGTTATTCCATTACTCATTCAAGTAATAAATTTATGTCAATCTGGGAGTCTGAAAGAGAAAGGAATTACCAAAAATGACAAGCTATTCAGAAACAACTGCAGAGCAATTTTCAATCATTCCATACGATAAGTTTTGTAGAAAGACTATTTTTCCTAAAAGGTGCATATAATGGAAGCTAAAATTGCTTGAATAATGGTCTTTTCATTTCTTCTTCCTTATAAAACTGATTTTCAATAAAAGAAGCTATGTGTTTCCTATACTTAAAAAAATGTATGGGAGTGCACAAGCCTCTCCCAGCCTCAAACAGAGCAATGTGAACTCTAGGCTTTTAGTTCATGCTCTAAAATATATCCTTTATTAGAAGTATTTAAAGTCTGGAGGCAAAAATAAAACCATGACAAAATCCTGGCTTAGATTTCTATAACTTGATCTCATCCTATTTTTGTAAGTATGTAAAACTCTTTAAAGTACCTCTGGGAAAATAAAAGCTTAGCATTCCTATTGTTAACACAAAAGCTGAATTCTGGTTACTACATAAAGACCAAAATGATCTGTCATCTCCTTAAGCAAAGTAATTTTAAAAATAAGGTCAGCATTGTGTTATTTATCTGGCTGACCTTATCCATTTTTTTTTTCATAACTGCATACAGATTAAGTTTTACATGAAGTTCCCAGTCATTCACACCATGTCCAAATTAACTTTATAAAATGACTCTTTTCAGAGCAATTTTATTTTTATCTTTATTGCACTTTTGAGGAAAGGTAAAAGACTCCCTCATGGAACTCACATATATTCTTACTGTATTAAACATATAATATGCGACTTGAATTGATATATCCTCAGAATTACGTTTTTTTCTGCAAATTGACTTTATTTAAAAGGGCCAATTTGTAACGTTTCTGCCCCCAAAACTGCTCAACTATCAAATGATTCACAGGCTTCACTGGGATGAGAGAGAAGTGCTAGGGGACTGAGAAGACCACAACATTTATGGGCAGATTTACAGCACCAGTCATTTCTTCGGATTAAGTATTTATGTTCTCGTTTGGAGGCCAGAAAGTTACAGTATATGTACAAAAGAAACAGGAAAAACACATGGACTGATGAAGAAAAATGAATTCAGCAATGAGCAGTTATGCAATTAGTGAAGAGTAAGGGGGCAACATAAATCATTCAGTGTTGCAATCATGAAAACCAGCAACATTAATTTAAAGAGGTGATACTGATAGAGTGATAATTAATTGTACTGTATACACTTGGCAAAGAACTCAATGCTACTCAGAGCATTGCAAGCGCAGATAAGGCAGCATAAACTGATTAGACATTTGTAAATAAAGTCTGGATTCGCGTCTGGTTTTGCAGCCCTTTGCTGTGCTGCTGCTTCACACTGCCCTTGCTGTCTATCTGCCCATGGCTCCAGTACAGCAGCTGCCCAGCCCAGGCGTCTCGCAGCGCCAGCGAGGCAGGTACCTGTCAGCAGGAGTCAGCAATCACGAAGGCCACGCAGAGCTTGATGGCCTCCCTCTACCTATTTTTGTTTGCTTCTAGCAAAAAGCTGTTATTCATGGCCATCTCATACTCAGGTCAACATGACTCATATCTTCTGCTGACCAACTGCTTTAGCAGCATGTCTGTGATTAAGTTTTGCAACTGCAAGCAGCACCAGTGACTCCAGTAAATCAACTGCAGTGAGCTGCAACTGCTAACAGACACAAAATGTGTCCTGAAGCAATTAGGAGCATAAAAACCAACTGCAACAAATGTAGATCCGGTTTACTCTACAGACCGGGTATTTATCTATAAATATCTATACACAATCAAGCAATAAAATTATTTTGTTAATCTGTAAAGTTTACGGTGCTGCAAGTGGAATCAGAGATTCTGAATTTTCAAGTTACTCATGTGATACAAGTATCTCTCCTACCATGTAACTTCTGGTTACTGATGCTCAGCATTTCCCACTTAAAGCAATAGTGTGAAACAGATTCTACAG